AACCAAGTTTTTCGATCTTTTGTGACGTGATTCTTGCTGTGTGAGGTCGTGCATTGTCCTGATGAAACATCACCTCTTTTCGATTCACTAGAGCAGGTCTTTTTTTCCTCAAAGCTTGGTTCAAACGCTCTAATTGCTGATAGTATATTTGAGCATTAATTGTTGCATTAGGTGGTAAGAATTCAAAGTGGATTATTCCTTGGCGATCCCACCAGATTGAAAGAAGAACATTTTGCCCATGAAGTTCCCTTCTCGGCGGTGGCTGGGGTCCTTCCCCTTTACCAAGCCACTGTCTACGACGCTTAACATTTCGATAAAAGATCCATTTTCGTCGCCAGTCACAAGTCTATCCAAAAAAGGTGAAACAAGTTGGTGAGAATGGAGAGAAGAGCAGATGTCAACTTTGGATTTGAGGTTGTTTTCAGACAATTCATGAGGCACCCATTTTCCAAGTTTAGGAACTTTTCCAAGTTGTTGAAGATGAAGATGAACAGTTGTATGGTTTGAACTGAGAACCACTGCCAATTCCTCAACTGATAAAGCAGGATTTTCTTCAAGGGCTGCTTCAAGAAGCTTTTCATCAAACTCAACTGGACGTCTGGTTCGATCTTCATCTTCAAGGGTGAAATCTCCACCTCTGAATTTTGCAAACCATCTTCTGCAAGTTCTCTCATTCATACTTTCCTCTCCATAAACTGAGTGAATGTTTCTAGCCGCTTCGGCTGCTGACTTTCCTTTCTTGAACTCATAAAGCATTATGTGCCTCAAATGATTCTTGGGTACTTCCATGTTAGCAGGGTTTTAATCAAACAAAATTTAATTTTATTGTTCTCTGAAATAAAATTTGATCAGTTTAAATGCATCTAAACATAAAAATAATGTTCAGCTCCATTAGACATTATAAAATACTCTTTAAATTTCGTTCATTTTAACAAAAAGTTAAAATTCGGACAGAATTTATGGGATGACCTGATACAAAGCATGTGTTTGAAAAACTGGAATATGAATAGACATTTTTCTAATCATTTGGTACAAGTCTTTCACAAAACAGCAATTTGCTTCTAAAAAGAATTGCAAACGATTTTCAGTATTTCTAGAATATTGCCTTCATTTCGGTATATGTTGTTCATGGCTGAATGACAAGAAGTCTCCAGCACCCGTCTCAGTATCTCCACTAACCCCAGCAACGCTTACGTAATCAATGCATTTATGTATGTCATTAATTGCCATTTCAGTCTAAAAACCTCAAACAAGAATCAGGATTGGCTTAAGTGTATTATCTTTTCGAACAAGTGGTTATTATTAATAAAAACATGGCGAGAAAAGGTCAACAATTCTGTTGTTTTGCCTGGCGTCGACTGCCAAGTTGAAGTTATATTCATCCTGATAATAGGTTTGAAATTTTCCCACCAAGAAAAAGGACTTTAGTAAAATAACCTTTAAAAGATGTAAGTTACAAGGTAATTACAAAAGGTATCTTGAAACAGTTCTTTGTATTGAAAGCAGATTTAGCGAGTCGAGTTCGAATTTCGACCGAGTCTGTTAAATCTTTTAAAAACTGTTTTTTACGGCTTATCAAACTTTTGTAGGTTACTTAAAGCCAAAACATATTTTGGGACCATAAGAATAATTCTTTTCTTTTCGCGAGTTAATATTGCATTAACAGTTTTTGGAGACGATTTTCAGATACAAGTCTTACTAATTAACCCATAGCTGGGGAAAAGAAGTGGATTCATAACAAATTAGACAGGAATTTGAAATTGGCTCTTCGAGTTTTCATTTTGAGCCGTTAGCCATTACACCACCCGCACATCCAAGCTTACAGCGCCTGGTATTCCCACGCGGCCATGCTTACATTCGGTGATAGGATGAAAATATTCCTATAACTCTAGATACATACATAAAATAAATCCATACATTCAGTTAAAAGTAAAAATAAAATCATCCTTGATAATGGCTAAAAGAATAGCCGAAAGCGCTCGAACTTGAAAAACATTCGGACAATTTCTACATACTTTATGTCCAGAAAAGAAAAAATTAATACGAACACAAGAAAAATTAAAATAACTTAACGATAATACCTTGTCAGTCGTTTTTAACGAAATTGTGTGTGTGTGTATATATATATATATATATATATATATGCACGAGAAAATGAGTTACGTGAAATATCCGAACAAAGTATGTAAGATGTAATATGTGAAAACCAGTTGGATATCTGTCTATATCTCGAAGATGAGGTATTACGTTTACTTACATTATTTACATTATTCGCACTGTTATACTTATCTTCATTGCCATATTGACAACGTTTCGGCCGTTATACGATCCGGCCTTCTTCAGGTGATTGGAATTTCGATTCGAACCCTTTATTTCGTCCACCGGAGTAGATTGTTCTAGTTCCACATGCCATGCGTCTTCCGAATTTCTCAGTCTGAATAATGTAAGCTGCCTCTTCCTGATGTTAAGTATAAGCCTTCTCTTTTGTTGCATCCTCTCCTAGACATCGTTGCTCACACACTCGATCCAGAATACGTCCTTGGCCTTACCAATACCAGCGTTAGAGCCTCGGTATCTTATGGCCTATTATCCCTCGTATAGACACACACACACACACATATATATATATATATATATATATATATATATATATATATATATATCCCACATTCCCCACCAGAAAGATCTTCGCGAAAATACAAACGCCTCTTTCACACATTAAACATTCTGCCTATCCTCTCAATCTCAATAAATTTTAAAAAAATATCCGACAAATATGATGGACACATTAATCACAAGTTTTGATATTGTTGTAGCATACCTACGGACGATAATGGGTATGTCTATTCCCATAAATACAGTAGTAAATACTGTATGTTGGTCTGCAGTTAGAGATCCGTCTTCATGTGTGCTGGTCAAACTCTCTGCCTCGGGCAGAGAGGGTCCCCAAACGAGGTTATGTCGAAGGGCATAGTCTCGTCTCGGGAAACAGCTACCTGAATCCGTTTTATACAGGATCTACGGGGAACCTTTGATCGAGCCAACGGGTTCGGATACCCCACATTAAACTCGGCCTTGTGCCACATTTGACAGCGTGGAGCGGTTGATAGATATCCTACAGTTGGAGATTCATTGTGGAATTCACTTCTCACTTCTAGCAGTTGACTAATTCTACGCGCCGCTGGCGAATCTTATATGTGTTGTTCTTGTCCTAAGTATTATCGTTCATTACCAACCTTTGTGTGATTATTCTATTTAGTAACCTTCCCTAGGTTACAAAAGATATAAAAACCTTATACACGAACATACTGGTAGACAAGTGCCTACATTTTGTAGGGAACTACCTAATATTATAAAAAATAGACTTCCCACGAGCATCAAAAGCAATATAATGCGTTGACTTTATCTTAATAGATAAAATATACTGACTCTTGTATAAAGTGACTTGTTTGAAAAATAGGATCAAGTTATATTTTATCAGTTCAGAGTTGTGCAAATTTTACGTTTGTTTCTAAGATTCGTTGCCTGTTTGTTGATTGATACCTTCATCTTAATAGAAAAATATTTCAAGTGTTGATTTTTCAGAAACTTTCATTTGTCCGTCCAGTCGACCATTACACAATTAAAGCCACAAAAATGAGGAGGTATTTCCCATTCGTTGTTCTATAAATCATGTATTTTTGTGAAGAATAAAATTGTATGACCGAAACTTCCGGGAAAAGAAAGAAATCATCGTTTGTAAAAGAAATTGCTACGAGATTTCTTGCTGATGACCGGATAAAACAAAGGCTTTGATAGCGCAGTCCTACACCAGCGACAAATTTATAGCGGAAGGGATTCGCATTCGACTCATCCCCCTACTCGATGTTAGAATTATTTAACACCCACTGCTCTTTTCTTTCTCTCTTTCTCTCAAATACACACGTCTGTCAAAATCAAGAGACAAGTTGTAATAAAAGAGAATTTTACTACAAGCAAGACCAAAATATGAGAATTCCCTCCAATTAAATAGTGCAAAGGTGACAATTTCATACCAATCGTATAATCCTGAGAAAACAGAAAAAAATTAAGGCCACCAAAAAAAAAAAAAAAAAAAATGTTCCGATGAGAATTATTTTAACGATCTGCTGGGAACCAAAAAAAATTAGCGAGGGTGGTGTTGGGGGTGGGGTAGGGAATGATAGGAAGAAGTTGACTGAGGAGAATTTCAAAGTTTGATTGGAGAGAAAAAAAAAAAAGCGGGGGCGGATAGGGAGAGAAAAAGTACGGAAATGGAATAGATTGAAGAGGGAACAGGAAGAGGAAGAGTACATCAAAGAGAGAGGAGGAGAAGCAGAGAGAGAGAGGAGTAAAGAAAGTGAGTGAGACCCACACACACACACACAAAAACCCACCCACCCAGAAAAAAACGATAAAGCAGTTAAGAGAAAGAGAATCTGGTTAGCAAAGACAAAAGAAACAAAAAAAAAAAAAAGTTTAACTTTTGTTGCCCTCCCCCATCAGTAACCAGTCTCCGGTGAGCCATATTCCTATTTCTAGTCCTTTAAAATTTACCCCTCATAAAATCATTTTTTTTTTTTGTTAACCTTATCGGGGTAAAAGGATGGCATGGGTTCATTGCTCTGATAATTATCAAATCCGAGTCGTTGGTTAAGCTAAGTTCTCACCAAATCTACTCAAGTGGATCCCTAATCACAAGGGGGGGTTCATTCTCCCCACCCCCACACCTCTTGCGCTTCAGTTTTGCCTTCCGTCACACTTTGAAGACCTCGACAGCCGGTTAAAAAACGCCATTACACTGAAAAGCGATGAAGACAAGATAACAGAGATTGTCTTACCAAAAGGGTTTGACTAAGGGACAGATCAAACCGCTGAGAGCTGATAAAGATGATAAGGATATTTACAGATCGGGTGCCAAGAAGAAAAAAAAAAGACCACCAATTCCCTAGTGTCTATATTATGTGCATGGAAACAGAAGAGGAAGTTTTTCATTTTTGTTTTTAAGATATGAATCTTGAAAAGAGCGCACAAGAGAGAGAGAGGGGGAGAGAAAGAGGAAAGCAGAGAAAGCAGAGAGAGAAAAAGAGAGAAAGCGGGGAGAGAGAAAGCGGGGAGAGAGAAAGCGGGGAGAGAGAAAGCGGGGAGAGAGAAAGCGGGGAGAGAGAAAGCGGGGAGAGAGAGAAAGGGGGAGAGAAAGGGGGAGAGAAAGGGGAGAGAGAGAGAGAAAGGGGAGAGAGAGAGAGAAAAGGGGAGAGAGAGAGAGAAAAGAAGGAGAGAGAGAGAGAAAAGAAAAGGGGGGAGAGAAAAAGAAAAGGGGGAGAGAGAAAAGAAAAGCGGGGAGAGAGAAAAGAAAAGCGGGGAGAGAGAAAAGAAAAGCGGGGAGAGAGAAAAGGCGGGGGACGGGGGAGAGAAAAAGCGAGGGGAAAGGGGAAAAGGGGGAGAGAAAAAGCGAGGGGAAAGGGGAAAAAGGGGGAAGATAAAACAGGGAGAGAGAAAAAGAGAAAAATTGAGAGAGAGAGAGAGTAAAAGAAGGGAAATAGAGGAGAAAGGGTAAAGGTAGAGGAACAGGTGTCAATTTGGATAAAAAAAAAGATCATTTGATTGGCAAACATCATTACCGCTAACTGCTTCATTTGATTGCACAGAATACATTCTTCTAAAATTGGAATCTCTGAACTAAAACATATCCCGCAAGCTAAAAACCTCTCCTCATTGACTAAATCAGCCCATTTTATAATTTTGGTACGAACTATGTTAACTGGCAAATTACAAACTACATTTCTTGAGAAGATCACGTTCTATGAATTAAAAATATCAGTTCCCCATCCAATTACAAATAATTACCTACTCAGGTAACTATTCTTTTCCTCTCAAACTAATTTTATAACAAAGTATAATTTCGTGCATACAAGAAATAGCAGAATTGAATCATTTCAAAAACTAACAAACATACCCAGCGTTACCCGGGTCAATTCCATTAAGTTTGTTCTGCTGCATAGATGTTTGTTTTAAAGAATTGCATATGCCGTAAAATTGTACGAGGGAAATTGTATTAATTAAAACTGCTCGACATTTTAAACATTTTGGTAGTCGTCTATTTCATATACAGCTTATCATAATATTATAATTTAAAATATGTGTCAAAATTTCAAGATATATTATTAAAAATGTCAATCTTGCTTACTTCTTTATTCTCAAGCCGTGATCTAATTACTAAGGTCGTTAACACTTTCAGGACTTTATTTGAAAAACTAAAAATCATAATAAAATAGCAATTATAAAATAATTATAAAAACTTAAGAAAATCGTTGCTTCATGAAGATCAAAAAAGACGACTGGAAAAAATAGGAAAACATTTACTTTTAAACAAAGTTTAATTTTTGAAGTTGAATATGCAAATTAATTAGCCCATTAAGCAAGAATTGTTGAGATTGGCAAGATACAAGACACATATTGGTGGACAAATCATACAACTGTAGTTAGTGCGTGTCTTCACAAATGAACAAGAAATATTTCATTTTAAGGTTTTTGAGCGGACACCTACTTTAAGCTTTATATATTAGATTAACCTCAGAAAAAAAAAGAATATTTATTTTAGTTCAGGAAAGTGATATTAAACCAATTTAATATCCACAGATAATTTAAGTCTTTGAGATTCTGCCTTTGGTTTTTCGTTTTTATTTCTCTTGTGAAGAGAGAATAAAGGAAATGCTATGAACAGTTCGATGTTAAGGAATAAATATGGAAAATGGTTGAAAATCATTATACACAAACGAAATAACTTTATTTCAAATCAGTTTTAATGCATATTAAATTTATTCACTTGCAAAATAGGACTGACTAGCAGTAGAGCCCGGCGTTGCCCGGGGATGTAACAGTAAGAGATAGATCAAGTATCGACTCTCATAAAGACTGAAAAATAAAATTGACAATGATTATTGTTTAAGGTTGACGGACACGCATGTCTTAATTAGTTTGTTTTTTTTGTTTTTTTGTTTGTTTTTTTTTTTTACGAATTGGTCAAACCCAAACTCAAACAAAAACATTTTCAATCGTTATGAGTCTACCGATTGAATAGAATTTTATTATAAACAATTGTCTTGTAAATGGAATTTTTAAAGCATTCTGAATGTAAAAATAAAGAAAAAAGTGTGCAAGACAATAAGAAACACTACCTGCCAAAAAAAAAGTGAAGTTTTGTTGAAATCGGTTGAAAAATGTAGGAAATCCGATCCCATATATAAACAAAACACACAAACACACACACAACCTGTGTTTTATAATGAGTATAACTCGATATTAATAAGTATGACTCGATACGAGTTGTCCCCCTTTTATTAATGCCTCTTAATCGTGTATTCAAATTGATTTCGTGCAAAAACAAATGTGTTTTTCAATTTTTGGCGCTGTCAGAACCACCGCCAGGTAATTTTACGTAGTCCTGTTAAGTTTTGTTGAAATCGGTTGAAAAATGTAGGAAATCCGATCCAATATATAAACACACACACAATCTGCGTTTTATAATAAGATGACGACGACGATAACGACGACGACGATGATGAGTGTACATTTATACTTATTTGTCACATATTTGGTTTGGACACAAGTAAATTATTTCCCCTGAGAACAGCTAATGACTTTAGAAATCAATCACGCTGAAGGAAATCAGCGACAAGGAAGATGTGAGTTTCTTGCATATAAGAGAAAGGAAAAAATAATCGACGTTTTCAGCGCGCAGGTGACTCTCCACATCATTTAGATTATTATCCGTGAATTGCCAAACTACTCATCCTCCACAGGTTTCAATTCATAGTTGCCCCCCTCCACCTCGTAAACTGGTTGCCCCCCTCCCCAAGATTAGTTTAGCTCAGTTTACCCTGCTATTTAACCCATAGCTAGTGGGGATGAGGAGAGAAGAGTTCATGCTTTTTCCGAGGTTATATCTGCGAAAGTGAACGCAAAAAATTCGCTCGGAATTTGAACTCGGTTCTTCCACTCGTTCCATGCTGATGACCGTTGCCGTACCCACACGACCATTTGATGGGCTCAGTCATGATGGCGTCATGTGTACAGAGTTCCGTCCTCACTGGAAATCTCATAATTAAAACTAAGCTATTCTTAGCAAATAAATGCATAGTTGCCATGTGACGAATTAAAATTAATTAATTGCATAGTTAGCATCACGTGACAAATTAATTAAAATTAATTAAAAGACTTATTTAGCATCAAATAATAGAGCAAAAACAATTACAGGTGTGTCGTTTTTTGTTTGTTTTTAATTCTCCAGTGACGAAAAATGCCAAGATTTTCCTTCGGCATGATGAAAAAAAATGCATCTATTGCTTGCATTCTGTCAATGGTATAACAGCAAAAATCGGCGATGGCGCTGATAAAGAGCTTAAGATTATGCCTGTCACTTGCCGCCCAATTAAAAATATATTAACATGTTTACAATTTTTACCACAAAATGGTTATTTAATTTTTTTAAATTAGCGCAGTGTTGTGTTTCTTGCTTCTGTAAACATGAGATAAGACTTTCAATCGTCGTGAAACTGAACTTCAACTCCAGACAAAATCAAAATGTCTATTAAATGAAAATATTTGTTTTTTTGTGTAATTAGTTAAAATATCTCAGTGTTAGTCCGTAAAAAGAATGTGAAAAAAAAAAAAAAAAAAAAAAAATCTGAATTGCTGTAACATTTTGATCGGTTCAATTCCACAACCACTCATTTTCAGAAAAAAATACCCTGATGTTGATTTTCTCCGGCTGGCATGAAATCTGGTCTGTGGACAATGTCCAAATGTCATTCTATACCAGGTATACTCAAAATCGGAAAATGGACCAACCGAAAAATTTCAGAAGAAAAAAATAATAAATATTAAAATGGCTCATTACAAAATTTCAAAATACAGAACTGTTTGATAATGCTTCCTTTTTTTCAGATATGAAGGGTGTTTCAAAAAATTTGATATCATTTCGCAATCTAATAACTTTGTTAGATCTTCAAATGACTTCAAGTTTTAATATCTTTATGTTTAATGTTTGTTTTATGTTTTTATGTCTTTATGTTTTGTGTTTTTCTTATTTGTATTTTTATGTTCTTTCATCTTTTTCTTTCCAGGTATAAAAATGCCGTGTCTCAGGCGGGGCGCCTATTGAACATTTGTGAAATCGTTCACATAATCCACATGCTTTTGAATTTCTCATTCAGATTTGGAAGAATAAATCTTCAACATTAATACTTTTTAATTTCATTTGCCTTAATCATGTACTTTCTGTGATATTTACATCTCAAAGGATATCAAATTTTTTTGAAACACTCTGTATAATTATTATTATTGTTTAAATCATTTCATCCCAAGTAACAAAATAAAACGTCTAGGATGCAAGGGGTTACCGAGTGTTAGAGAATATGAGAAAAACTACTATTAAGGAGAGTGGACAATAAAAGAACATGAATTACTAAGGCAGAAGATAACGATTGACAATGCATTTAAATTTTTATTAGATCAAAGGCAATAAAAGCCATTAGGACGCAAGAGCGTTACTGAGTGTTAGAAATTAAGAAAAAAAAATACTATTAAAGGAGAGAGAACAATAAAAGAACAAGAATTAAAAAGGAAGAAGATAACGATTGATATTACATTTAAATTTTTAAAGATAAAAGTTGGCTGGGAAAGCCAGAAGCCGGAAAAGTGTACCACAAGCGAGAAGTGCGATAGAAGAAACTGTTAGGATAAAACTTACGCTTACATCTAGCGAATTCAACCGTAAAATGATGAAACCTCAACGCCAATCTAGTACTGAACTTAAATTAAAAAAAAAAAAAAACTCTAGGTAGCATAGAGGAAAGCTTGAGAGAACATTAACCCTGAAAGCATTTAGAGAAAAGTCATAGGGAAGCTACTTTCTGGTGGTGTGAAAATGAAGTCGAGATGCCAAGTCTGCACCAATAGTATTATTATCATCCAAATTGTGGCAAACTGCTCGACATTTTAAACATTTTGGTAGTCGTCTATTTCATATACAGCTTATAATATTATAATTTAAAATACGTGTCAGAATTTCAAAATATATTATTAAAAATGTCAATCTTGCTTACTTCTTTATTCTCATGCCGTGATCTAATTACTAAGGTCGTTAACACTTTCAGGACTTTATTTGAAAAACTAAAAATCATAATAAAATAGCAATTATAAAATAATTATAAAAACTTAAGAAAATCGTTGCTTCATGAAGATCAAAAAAGACGACTGGAAAAAAATAGGAAAACATTTACTTTTAAACAAAGTTTAATTTTTGAAGTTGAATATGCAAATTAATTAGCCCATTAAGCAAGAATTGTTGAGATTGGCAAGATACAAGACACATATTGGTGGACAAATCATACAACTGCAAATTGTGGCAAACGAAGGGTGGGGGGTAATACAGATATGAATACACGTGGATACTGACAATAGGACATGCGTCACTTGATTTCCCTACCACTGCTCTTCGGGGATTTTTAAGAGACACATGCAAATCCCTCCTGAGAAACGCGGACCAAATATGGACGGCATAAACTTTGAAGCCTTCAACTTGACCTATTAGCGAAGT